TCAGTATTTTTCGAACTAGCGATTATAATTGTAATTTCAATAACAATATTATTTGTTTGATTGAAAATATAACTAATATTTTATTCTTAGATATGCTGTTATTCCTCGAATGGAACAGTTGAATTTGTTTATATAAATTATCCTTTCATCTTGAATTAAGTAATATTATCAGAATCAATTAAAGTTTAAAATTCGAAAATGTATAATATTATGGGAACTATTTTCTAAAAGTTTCAAAAAGAAGAATAGGAAAAGAATTGAGAAATCTCGGTCATTGACAGATTTTTTTTTTTTTATTGTTAAAATTATAGGTTAGAATATACATTTTTGTATTATTTAGGAAGTTATTAATTTTTTTTGTTAAATTTTTATTTTTAATATAGACATAATTGTAATTTGTAATATAAATTTAATTATATTTAAAATATAAAACAGAATTTTATTTTACTATATATATGATTCAAAGAATCATGTTTCTGAATTAAATATTAAATAAATATTTTTGTTTGCTATGCGTTAATTTGTCATTATTAAATTTGATTTGAATTATTTAGATGAATAGCAAATTCGATTTTATCATATAATATTAAAGTACACTCTACAAAAAATACAATCTAAAGTTCAAATATTAAATCTAATATTTTTCAACAAAATATTTTTTAATATAAATGTTTTTTTGAAGTTTTTTTAAAATGTATATTGCATTTTTTATTCAAAGGCAAGCCAGTGTCCATTGTTTGAAGATATTCTGCTTATGCATAGTGTAAAATTAAAGTTCTTAAAGATTTTTTACAAAAAATAAAAATAAAAATTAAATTATAAATAAAATAAAAATAAAAATTATTACTTATTTTAAGGATTTTTTATATTTTATGTTAGAATATTTATTAGAATATATTATAATTTATTATTTTAAATAAATATATGATATAAGAAATATATAATGAAAATTTTTATATATAATAAAATATAAATTTTATAGTTTCTAAAATAATACGTAACATTTTTTAATTTTACACTATGCATTAAATATTATAATAATAGGAAACCGTGATACAACCGGAAATAAATTTCTCCACCAAATAATTTCAATCTAATAAATTCTAATTTCAATCAAATAATTATTTCTCTGTAAACATTTATCCATATTTATTTAAAAATGAAATTATTATTTAATAAGTGATTAAAAAACTAAAAAACTAAAAAAGTATTATAATTAATATGTCACAAGGATAAATTATTTTATTATTCAAAAAATCACTTTCGATAGTATCACGATTTTCCCATCTATTATCTTACATCTATCTGTGGCCGGCTGAAAATCGTTTATGTTTTTTGCATGGCATATTTCTCTGATTGCGCATCGACAATCGAGAATTTTTCATTGTTTAACGCTTTGCTGGTCTAGGTTAGGTATATTTCTATTTTTCATATTTCAAATTACGCGCTAAAATCTAATCTGAATTTTTCATTGACTTCGAGAGCATCCGTTGCTTATTCGACATAAAAATTAAAATAATATACGTACAATCGAGAGTTTATTCATAGTTTTGAAAATTGCTGGAAATATGAAGAGCGAAATGGAACATATTCATTCGTAAAATTGAATATTGTTCTTGTACATTGCACAATATTAGAATTGGAAAAGTTAGGTGTATTTTTTCGTCGATAGATATGCGCTGTTAAGTTTAAAGTTGCGTTTATCAATGTTTATCAGCAATTTTTTTCTTAATTTTTATATCATTATTTTAAACAATTTATTTTTTCGTTCAATATTTTTTTTAATTATTTTTTTTAATTACAAAAGCTAAAAATTTTTTTTTTTAAGTTTTGAACTAAATTGTTCTTACTTTCTTCAATTTAAAATAATTCAATGTAAAATAATTATGTATATTTTTTCTTTATTTTTCTTTATTTTGATTATTATTGATATATAAGTATTTTATTATTAAATTCAATATGGCTATATTAATTGAGACATTTTAAGATTAATTAATAATTTCTTTTTCTAATTAACCTTATTAATGTAATCTTTGAATTCTATACATCAATGTATTATTTTCTAATAATACTACGTAAAATAAAACTCAAAATGACGATTCCAGAGATGGTTATCGTACGTTGAACTTCATAAAATAACCTGAAACATCATAGAAGAAGTATTATACAATGATTACAAATATTATTCAACGATCTAGAACATGCAAGTTTTTCATTCTCGCATTAACTCAATGCTTAAAACTACCAAGAACCGACCACGAGAATACGATATATTGCAAAACATGTTCGAGCAATGACCGGCAGCGATTAAGCAAGAATAGAGGGCGCGGAAGAAACTTATCCGATTACATTATTATGGCGACATCTCGTGGAAGTGATCACGAAAATACAAAAGCGCGAAGTCAAGCAAGATTTCTCGAAACATATTCCAGTTTGTTCAAGATCATCTTAATCAACAGAAATTCAATAGAAATTTTGAGACTTTTTACAAGATTTCATTAGGTAAATAGAATAAAGATTCTGATAAAGTTAAAAATTTTGAATACTCGAAGCTATTCGTATAATATTATATGAATTAAGGTTAGATGGAAAAAGATATTAAGGAATCAATAGATGTATAAGAAACCTGCACTTTTAACAAATTAAAATATCGTTATTTTTTTCTCCAATTAAATAATCTTTTAAATTAGATTTAAAATTTTAAAAAATTATTTCATTTTTTTTTTATATGAAATGTATTGGTAAAGAATAAATGTTCCCAACGAAACAAATATGAAAATAAATAAGAAGAATCGGAATAAATAAATATTAATTTTATGTTGGAAAAAAAATGATTTGATACAATTTTAAACAATAGATAATTTTAAACATTTTTTTTATAATACAATAAATAACTAATAAGAAATTGGCCTCGAGCAATCGAGATATTTTTTGACTTTGTCGTATTTTTTAGTGGATGTTCTATGATTTTATTTTGCGATCTCTGGTTAAAACTGGCAATAACGAAACTACGAAAAAAGCAAAAGGTAAAAGATGACGTACAGAATTTGATTGGGAAAGCAAGGTTGGCCAGTTTTTTCCATACAAGCGCAGCTTGTTTTCAATGGCATGAGCTTTATAACATATAGAAAAAGATTGATGCTTTGATGAGCATAGATATGGCTGAATTTTGTGCCTCTTTGATTATATTGCATGCGAATAAAGCATTTTAGCGGTTGATAGGAAAAATTCATTAAACAACCTCTTGTTAAATTTTCAGTATAAAATAAAACACTTGTATTTTTTCTAACAGTATCTCATAATCAATTTATTATATTTCATTATTTATTATTATTTATCATTATTCATTATCGAATAGATTCATTTATTTATGTAATCAAAACAATACAAAGTCTAATTATAAATAATATTACTTCAATATAATTTTTTACTAGTGCATTTCATTTTTAATTTTCTCGAAAAAATTCTTCTCAAAATTCAAAACTTTATTACTAAAATACTTCTCTCAAATGTGAAGTATCATCAATCAAATTCACGAAAAGTTTTAAAAAATTATTTTCCAAAAACATGAATAAAATAAATCCACGCTATTGATTAAAATTTAAGATATGAAAAAATTAAAAAA